TGCATTCTTATAGTGCACACCTGTGATTTGGTGCCTGAAATAGCTCATCTAAAGTGTGCACTATACTCCATCACTACAGCATGTGTGATTGTGTGTATGTCACTGTATATGTATATGTGTGTATGTGTGTATGTGTGCATGTATGCATGTGTGTATGTGTGCATATGTGTATGTGTGTATGTGTGCATGTATGTACATGGGGTATCTATGTGTATTCACTACAGGTATTCTATTTTCCAGATGCCAAGCTGGTGGTTGTTCAACCTCTATGGTTGATGAGTGACATCACAGGGAAGTTCTACTCCCCAAGTTCATATCCTCCACCAATCATTGTCTGTGATGAGTTTGGATTCGCTTCACGCAGCCATGTCATTGAAGTACTGGCTAAAGATTCACCGGTGCGTGGTGAAGACGCTCTCGACATTGCTGTACGCCTAGGTATGTGTCACGTAACCGAGGATGGTGAGCAAGTCATGATTCTTCCTGCACAGGCTGAATCACGCACTAGTCTGCACTGGGAGAAAGCCAACCCCGACCAGCACATCTACTACACTGGTCGCCGTCTCTACTGTAAGTCTGGCATCCCTGTCAGCGCAGCGTTGATGCCCACCATACAAATGTCACTCGTCAACTCCTTCGCCAACAGGACACGCAAGTTTCCTGTTTGGCAGGGAGGTGTTTGTGTTTCGCTATCTCAGTACGGGTACACGGACACACTGGTGGAGATCCCACACGGTCAACTCGCGCTCAACATCATAACCAGAGGGCCCGACCAGCGTAGCGTGACTTCTCAGCAGGAAATTGTCTGGGATCACATCTCTGCTCTTCCTTGCCAACAATCTCCTGGTTCTGACATGTCAACGGCGTTCGTTGATGATGGGTGCCTGCCGAGTAGCGATCTTCTGCGACAGCGGGATCAGCAAGGAGACCTGAATGCTACCATGGAGTTCCTTGCCAGTGAGCGACTGCGTGCTCAGTTTGTCATGCCTGATGAGCGGGAGCCCGACACAAGAAAAAATCATCCATATGCTGTGTCTGCAAGCTGCTTTAATGCAGGTCAGTTGCACTGTGTGTCATGCCTCGGTGTGCGTGTGTGCGTGTGTGTGTGTGTGTGCGTGTGTGTGTGTGTGTGTGTGTGTGTTTGTCTGTGTTTGTGTGTGTGTGTATGTGTGTGTGTATGTGTGTGTGTATGTGTGTGCGTGTGTGTGTGTGTGTGTGTGTGTGTGTTTGTGTGTGGCGGTATGTGTTTCTGTCTGTCTGAGTGTGTGTAGTATTATGAAAAAATGAAGATTAATGGGAGCCCATTGATCCCTGCTACTGCTCAAATGATGCTACCTCATTAGGAGCAATTGTCTCTTACAGTTTTCTTGGCCATCCCCACCAAAGTTCTTCTTCTTTGTTTTGCTCCATTCCGTGTCTGATCACAGTTTGTGGTTGTCAGATTTCTGTTGTTCACACATCCACGTCCCACTTTTTAAAATCAATGATTAAAATATATAGAGGGTGCTGGGTGCTGGCCACTCGAATCTCCGGCTACTCGGTTAGAGTCCTGTAGACTTGACTATCGCTCTTGGCTCTTTCAAGGCTCATGCTTTGGCAGTTGCTACCTGACCGATCCCTTCCCATACCGCCAACAGTGAAGTTGTTTTGTTTGTGCATGCCTAGGTGTGTGTGTGTGTGTGTGTGTGTGTGTGTGTGTGTGTGTGTGTGTGTGTGTGTGTGTGTGTGCGTGTATGTGTGTGTGTGTGTGTGTGTGTGTGTGCGTGCGTGTGTGTGTGTGTGTGTGTGTGTGTGTGTGTGTGTGTGTGTGTGTGTGTGTGTGTGCACCATACTTGCCAACCATACCGGTTTTCCAGTACACTAACGGAAAACTAGGGTAAATACCGGCATACCGGGGATTTTTGACTTTGATCGAAAAACTACCGGTATTGACACTGAACCATGAGTGTTCCAAAAGTTGCCTGCAGCCCTCGGGACTACGGCCCTTGGGCTGCAGGCTAGGGCAAGATTCAGCCATCATGACAGACAGAGCGTGCTTGATTTGATTTCTTACAGCGCGAAGCAACATATTAGGGAAGGTCAAAGGTCTAAAGGTCGAAACAAATTTCCCGAAATGACATCAAACGGTCCTGACATTCCCGAAATGACGTCAAACTGTCCTGAAACTCCCGAAATAACGTCAAACGTTCCTGATGGCCTGATTGTGCGCGCGGTGGGAAGATCGCCTATTGGCCATGGCCCCGGCAATGATCACGGCTCATGTAAGATCTTCACTAGTTTGAGGGAAAGAGACAAACGGGAAAAGTCTGAAGAAAAAATTGACTGTCACCACCAGGACTCGAACCAGGGACCCTCGCTTGTAGCTAGCGATGCTCTAACCACTGAGCTATGGTGTAGTCGTCATCCCACCAGAGACTGTTCAACGTTTTCTTCAGAGTTCGTAACTCACACTTCCTGTGAATCCACACAGGCGGGTGGGACGCAGCCCTCACTGTACCCACACACTTCGCTCATGTAAGAATAGGTTGTTTTGTGGAGTGACAAGGGCACATGCGGCCCTGCATTTCACAGAATCACACATGTAGGGGCGATCTGACAATGAAGAAACTCAGGTTTTGGTCCCCCAATGAGCAATGGGTTTGAAATCAATAAGAAGAAAGAAAAAATTCCCAAATAATTGCGCAAAATACGCAAAATACGCAAATATTGCCCAAAAAAAGAGAAAATGGCCGAAATTGGCGAAAGCCAGAAAAATAAGGGAAATGAGAGAAAAGTAAGGGAAACTGGGTGTGACTAAGGGATTTGCTTCGGCTGGGTTGGCAAGTATGGTGCACATGTGTGTATGTGTGCATGTGTAAGTTTGTCTGCGGGTGGGTGTGACTGTTTCTGAGCATGTCTCTTTGGCTGTCTGTTTGTCTGTATATGCATATGGCATGACGTGCGTGACATATCTTAAAGGTTTTATAACAACATTTTGGTCATAACCCGGATTATATTTGTTCCTAGTATTTTTGTTCCACTCTTCTTTCCGTGTTAAGATACGGTTGAGGAACGCCGCAGAGCCGCACGTCTTTGCTCGGCCTTCTACCAGCATCGCATTCTCCTACGCCACGACTTTCCACTACGTGATTGTCTTCTCAAACTGAACGAATGTGGACAGGTGAATACATCCTTCCTGGATGACGTGGACGATTGTTTGCGGAAACACCAGACCAAGATGGCTGCCGATCTGTTTCGAGGGTCGATTTCCGACTTGCCTGACAGCGTGGTGCTAACCCTTGTGGATGAAGTCCTTCCCAAGATAGCCAGTGCCAAAGATCTGTATCAGGCAATGCTGGAGTGTCCAGGTCGGGTCCCCTGCACTGTCAGCCCTAGTGATAGCCACAGCACGACTGGTAGGTGGTTGTCTTGCATTGATACATGTACTGGTGTTGTGTGTGCCTGTCAGTGTGCATGTGTGTGTGTATGTGTGCATGCTGTGTATGTGTGTGTAGCGTATTTTTCAGAGTATAAGTGGCACTTTAAACACCAGCAATCCACCCAAAACAAAATTTTTTTGTCTTATACAACAATGGTCAAATTGATGGGGATAATTAATAAGATAGATGACGGTATTTCGTGACAAAAAAAACTAGGTGCAGCTTACACACCAGAAAATACACTTTGTATGTATTTGTGTATGCGGGTTTGGGTGGGTGTGGGTGGAGGTGTGTGGGTGAGGGGGGGGGGGGGGTGCGTGGGTAGGGGGTGAGTGGGTGGGGGTGCGTGAGTGGATATGGATATGGAGATGGATGTGTGTTGGTGCATGACTGTATAGTCGTAAGTCTGCCTGGGAACTGCCGTTTTGCCTGGTCCAGTGGATCTGATCTGAATCCGGATTGACTAGTCAAGCATCCCACCTGGTGTGCATGTCTGAAGCATGTGTTCTTTGTTTACTGGCAATCATATGTAGTTACTGTGGTGATGGATGATGATGTAATGCCAATGAGTGATGTCATTTCTTCTTACCATGAAATCATCCCTCTTACCACGGTAAATCGGTAAAGTTGTGCGGCCTTGAAACTTTCTTGTTTTGAAAGAATTAAACTGGTTCACAAAGGGAGACGTCTAGGATTCCATCTCCCTAATTGAATAGTGTAGTGCCCAAAACCCATGCACATACACTCATAGCCTGGTATACAGTGATTTACGTGTGTGTGTGGGGGGTGGGTGTGCGTGCGTGCGTGCGTGTGTGTGTGCGTGCCTGCTAGGGGTGAAACGACTCCCAAAATTGGGGACTCGAGTACTCTTTGAAAAAACGAGCAAATATTCGAGCGAGTACGAGTATGTTACTGACAACATAATACAATGCACTGCACACACTCTCGCACCACCGAACGTAGTACACCCGATACACATGTAGTCTTGCATGCAGCCTAGTACAGGAAATAGACTGAACTACTGTCTTTTGCTGGTAAGTAGGGACAAGCAATAATTTCGCGCTTGCATGGACTATCAGTCCCAGTCAGAGTAACAGAAATGCTTGATGTACATGCATACAATACACTGCACAAAGGATAATTCGAGTATTTTGCGAAACGAGTACTCGCTCGTTTCAAATTTTCAAGCGAGCGCTCGAGTATTCAATATACTCGTTTCACCCCTAGTGCCTGCCTACCTGCCTGCATGTGTGCGTGCGCGTGCGTGTGCTGGTAGTGAAACTAGCAAAATTTAATCTTTAGTGAGAGGTTTTCAGTTGACAGTACATGTGTGTGCTTCCATGCTGTGTCAATTTGACTGCAGCTGCTTCTGATCACGTCGCCAGACCAGCAACTGACGAGTACAGTATGTTGAAGATTTTTCCTGTCTTATTTTTTTTAGCATATTTCATTATTCTTGGTGTGACTGTGCTCTGGATAAGACCCATACCAAGATGCAATTATGCTCTGTTGCTCTGTAGTTCTCTACGCAGATAACAGTAGATTTGGTATATTTGCCTGGATTGTGTTCTGTGCTGTATTCCCCTAGATCCCTGGGACCATCCAGATTTCTGCCTGGACAAGTACCGAAGATGGATTATCTCACTGAACTCCAGAGCGTTCCGCGACAAAGCCATAGCACGGATGCTTCTTGCAGACAACCTGGATATCAGGCACTTCATTGAGCTAGAGAGACGTGAGGGCTCAAATGTACACAACGAGGAACTGCTGAAGCACCTGCAGGGGTCTGGGCGTGCATCGTTCATTATCTTCTTGGACATCATCACAGACATGAACTCACTCTTCGCATTCAAGCGTACTGAGTTTGAGGCTCTCCTTGATCGGCCATGATGCCTCTGTTGTCATGACTACCCAGGTAAGCCTAGTGCATTATACTGCAACTGGACTTTGCTTTGCGTTCCGAGTGCAATTCATCCCGTATTGCTATACAGTCATACCACGCATAACCGCACACATCCGTTTTCCACAAAACAATATCCGGATAGGCGAGGGAACCGGATAATCGAACACACATACTGTATGTATGCATGCCATATGCTGTAAATCGGTGACCAGCGATTTTCTTCCGGATGGCGAAGGATCCGGATAAAAGAGGACTGGATAAGCCAGGTCTGACTGTATATCTACTGTTGTGGACATGGAAATCCAGTCGGAGGTCAAGCAGCCCGATGACAACCATTAGTACATGTGTACTGCTATCAACACGTGCACTGCATGCACACAACGTTCTGCCTGGCACGCTGAGGGTGGCGGCCCCGGTCATTCCACTGGATTTCCATGTCAATGACAGTTTATACGGAATGTACGGCTTGTACTACAAGCTGAGTTACTATGTACATGTATTTGCACAAAGTGCTCGATATCGCGAGGTCAGGGACAAATCACTCATGTCATTCCCAAAGCTATGCACAAGATATCACTTTAGTCACAGTACAGTAAAACCAGTCAAGGCGACAACTCCAATAATGCCACCACCTGTCCCATTGGACCACTGCAACCCGGGCCAAGGGATGCTATTTCCAGTCGAATGGCCCTGGATAAGAAGACCACCTGATAACAGAGAACACATTCTGAAGGTCTCTTGAGTGGTGGTCTTAGACATTTTTCACTGTAGTGTCTGTCATAGCCGGTATCCACACCGCTGTATTCCCTAAGATGTGTGTGTTGTGCATGTTCACATGTCACATGACATGCCGTGCCTGGCACGCTATCCCGTACGTATCCCATACATACCCCATACATATCCCATACATATCCCATACATATCCCATACATATCCCATACATACCCCATACATATCCCATACATATCCCATACATATCCCATACCGGACCGTCAATGAGAGCTGGCCAGCATTCATGTACATCTTCTTTCTTGTGTTGGTCCAATGCAGGCGATGTTTCTCTGGGATCTTCCGCTACTGCTGACTTCCAGTTGTCCATTCGATCTGTATCGATCGTCTCCACTTGGACCTACTCTGTGAAGTATAGGTCCAGGATGGATAGATGAAAAGCTGATGTATTATGATTTCCTGCATGTAGTTTATAGCCGCGTTTCAACAGACGTTTCTCCAGCTCGTTCTCTTTGGTTTCACTGTCCTTGATGTCTTCCTGATGAGAACATATTTCCGGCAACATGTATTCTGTTTTCTCTGGCAAGTGCCACAGTTGTGCATTGCTGTTCACTGTCCACAAGTTCATGATGATGATGATGATGTCATGCCCATAGTGATGATGTCATGCACTAAACCATGCATTTATGCCCATAGTGATGATGTCATGCACTAATCCATGCTTTCATGCCCATAGTGATGATGTCATGCCCCATAGTGATGATGTCATACCCATAGTGATGATGTCATGCACTAATCCATGCTTTCATGCCCATAGTGATGGTGTCATGCACTAATCCATGCTTTCATGCCCATAATGATGATGTCATGCACTAATCCATGCTTTCATACCCATAGTGATGATGTCATGCCCACATCGTTGAGCAATGTACACTCCTTATCTATTTTGCTAGTATTAGTCAAATCCCAAATGGAACTCTACATTTTGTATTCACTCACTCTTGTCTTGTATTACCAGCTCAGTCCACTGGACGGTGAGCACTCTGAACAGCCTGATGTTGCACTCATGCACATAGAAACTTGTAATTATACCTATTTCTGAAGTACTCAATCTGCGGACAGAACTGTTTCGTCCTGAAGTATGTACATGATTGTATTTAGCACATAGACACCTGTACTTCCACACATGTATTTTACATACCTAGTGTTTCATCCCTCCGCCCTTCTGTTGATTCCCTACTATCCCCCTCTGGCCGCTAATGAGCCCTGGGATTGATATTCTATGTCACTGGCAGTTGATTATATTATTGGCCCAGTCAATGCTGGAGAGCCAGTCTGTATCTTCTGTTAGCTCTGTTAAATAGTCATTGCCTTTACCACATTCTCAGGGACTAATGTAGTCAGGGCGGCTTGCCCGATGAAATCATCCTGTCGTGGGAGTCAAGTTTTCACCCTGCTCCAGTGAATATACCAACGGTTGGCAGGTCTGGCTAGGGTTGCAAGGCACCTGGCATGACATTGGCTAGCTTGATGGGATCCAGTTCATCGATCAACACTTCACTTGTACATGTAGCTCAATCATGCGTGCAGCCTGGGGAGGGGGGGGGGGGGGTCTCGGCATGAACATACAATGATATGAACGTGGTCACTTCAAAAAAGAATTCTTTTTTTAACTTAAACGATACAACCTACTCGGCAGAAATGAATGGGAGAGAGCACGAAAAAACTCAACAGCGTGCCTGAGCAGGGAGCCCTACACATATATGTACGTTTTTCACTGTGTGGGGCTCCCTGGCCCTGGGCCTGAGAGTGGTAGGGCCTCCACGGTGGAACCTGCGCTTAGCTGGTCAGGCACACGAACAACGATGCGACCTCTGGTCTCAGCAGTTTAGCACTACCGTGTAGAGAACACGGATTTGGCTGGTTGGTTTTTCAGCTTGTTGGCTCAACAGTAAAAAAATTCCAAACATCAAGACTACATGAGGGATGAACGAAAGAGAAAAATATCCATGAACCACTACAGTAGCGGGACAAGGCATGACCAAAAATGGCAAGTGTGTCGGTAGACACAGTGACAGTACGTGGGGCTGACAGTGACAGCTACCTGTTTGGGATACGCGGATGTAAATTCTTTTACAAATTATGCTGCAAATTTTGCGTGAAAAAGGGGGTTATTCTGCAGCGGGATTTTCAGGATTTTCATGAGTATGCTGATTGTGTGAAGAGCATCAAATACTGTACATGTATATGTATATGGTAGTTGAAAGTACTAGTGTTAGATAACCTTGTTTTGTTGAAAACATGTTGTCGCCTTGTAACATGCTGTCAACAAACAACATCATGTATATCGATGTAGTACTCTCCAGAGTCCAGACACAATCTTCCCCAGCCTACTCAAGCTCAACTGATAAGCGGGGTGAATTCCCCCCCCCCCCCCCCGAATCTCTGTGTATTGAGCAGGGAGTGGTGCTTCCTTGCAGGTTTGCCGAGTCGAAGGTTCGATGGTATGGATCTCCTATGCTCTGGATGTCAATCGTGAGTTGGTCAAGTGTCAAGTCAAGTCGGCTGAAAAGCACGAGCTCCGGTGTGGGGATCCGGGAGCGAACACCTTTCCTGTTTTTTTGTTTTTTTTCCTGTATCATCGCCGAAGTCGCTCCCGCTATCTTGTGCCATTTTAATGCTGCATCATCTCTGCGAGGTTTTCACCATCCTCATATCTTGTTACATGTACTTGTAGGTTGTTTGTTTTTATTTTACTTCGCACATTCAAAGGGGATGACCACCCAATAAAATGATGGCGAAAGCTTACCCTAGATACTAGTAGAAAGGAAAATACCTTTCACTGTTTTCACACTATACCTCGCTATCACCAACTGAAAAACACAATAGAGGCCTGCACCCAACCATACTGACAAACGTAATTACATGTATGTGCTCCAATATACATAAACATGTACATGTAGATGGCAAAATAGCTTTTCTGCAGCTTTCTGGGTAGTAATTTCACTAGTTTACTGATGACAACTCATTCTTCGGAAGAATTTGCGAATTCCGTGATTTCCACCAAAAGGCACCAATGACGGCGATTTTGCGAAAATTAATCGCGTCATTCCAAGGGCACGGTAAAAACTAATAAAAGGGGCAGAGAAGAGAAGGAGGAGGAGAGTGTGGGGGAGGGGGGGGAGGGAGGAGAAGTTGTGCGCATGTAGAAATGAGGTGAGTGGACGATGAAAGGAAAGAGATTCGTGAGATACAGTCATGTATAATGTACATTGTACATTGACGCCATGGGCAGGACTGAGCAGGGGTTGAGAACATTGAACAAGGAGAGCAAGGCAGGACTGAGCAAGGGGTTGAGGACATTGAACAAGGAGAGCAAGGCAGGACTGAGCAGGGGTTGAGAACATTGAACAAGGAGAGCAAGGCAGGACTGAGCAAGGGGTTGAGGACATTGAACAAGGAGAGCAAGGCAGGATCAAGATAAATTTAGGTGTACATATATCATCAGTGGCAGGAGTAAGAGTTACATGACGATTGTAGCTGTTTCTGTGTTGCTCCACGTGTGAGACCTACTCTATCGCGGGTCATAAGTCCATGCCCCCCCCCCCCCACCGGCCGCGGGTCATAAGTCCATCCCCCCCCCCCCCGGCCACTAGCACTACGTTGACTGCCGGCTTTCCACAAACCCTGCCAAGGATGGCAGCAGAGAGCGTCGCGGTGCTGACCGTAAACATGGTAAACTGGCCGCACTAATAATAATAATTATCGCTTCTACATCTAAAGCCTAGTTCACATTCGACGCAACGCCGACGGTACGGGACGTAAGGGCTTGTCGGGAGGGCTGGAAAATCCTGTACAATTCGTACGACACGACATGCAGCAGTCGTTGCGACGTTCAACGTCGAACGGCGCGAGTCATAAGGCACGGTCCGTGACGGGGTGACTTTCGGACCTATTTTCTCGTTTTTCGGGACTTCTTTTCAATTATTTCTCCTTGAAAGAAGCGGAACCAAGTTCACAATACCAGTTTTTCATGAAGACCAAAAAATTAGCCCTGAAAGTTGTGGCATTCAAATAATAGCCCCAGGAAATGATAGAATAGTTCGTCTGCCACGCTTCTGAACTATCCCTAAAATACAATAAGTGACACGAGATCTGATGTTGCTAAAATTCAACTCCAGTCGTGCTAGCCATTCTGTGAGTTATCATGGGAAGCGCAGTGTTCGAAATGCTAAAAATTTCCAAGTACGAATCGGGAGCAGTCGGCGCACGACGCCGTCTCCTGTTCACACTCGAATTGCAGCCGTTTTGTACGCTTGCGTCCCCGTCTACGCCCGTCTACGGTATGAAAAGTTGGATCGATCCAACTCTTCCCGTCGCTTCCCGATCTGTACGGTAGTACGGTTGCGTTCCCGTTGCTGGTGTTCACACTGGACGCCGTCAGACCGTCCCGTCGCTTCCCGTCGATCCTTACGTCGCGTCCCGTCGCGTCCCGTCGAATGTGAACTAGGCTATACATGTACTATCATGTACTACAGTGCTGGCAACTGAAATCCGACCCCCTTGGCGGGGCGGCGCCCCGCCAAGGGGGTCGGATTTCAGTTGCCAGCACTGTAGAGTGTAGTAATAAAATACCGGTACTTACATGTACTAGACGCTAAAGGCCCAAGTAACGCTTCACGCCTTTTGACCTTCACGCCTTTTGACCTTCACGCCTTTTGTCGTTTTGACCTTGTATGTTGTAGCTCGTGTAAAAACTATCTCATTTCCCCTGGCCTGTCTAGACGTCTACGGTCTAGCGTCTACTGCCTAGTACTACGCCTACGGTCAAGCGCGGCTGTGTACGACTCGTACCACTTGAGTGTGTGAGCAGACTAGACAGGCGCTAGGCCTAGAAGTAGAAGCGAGGTTCAACGGCGCGTATCAACAGCTACGGACTCACCCAACACAGTCAGTCGATTTCGTCGGTGCCGGCGTCGGAGCATCGGCCGAAAAATTGGCCTATAGTCCGTGAGCCAAATCTCAGAATCGGCTGTTTTAGCATCGACCGTTGCACCCAGAGAGGGACAAATCGTCCTTCAGCACACCGCTTCAGGATGGTATCCTGAAGCGATTTCCACTTGTTGGACAATTCGAAACTGATCCAGGGAGGTCACAGAAGACGCCAAACATCCAACTTTGCTCACTGACAGCAGCGGCCATTTCGCCTTCTTCACTTGATTTTTTTGCGCTTGTTCACGGATTCTCATTTTTTGAAGCCATGAGCAGATTCCACGAGTGCACATAACGCGGAAACCAGTGCACAGAACTAGATTTGAATTTTTTTACCGCTGAGAATTATCAATCCGGATCATGCATGCAAACTGCAGCAAAGTTACAATGCATTCGTTCAGAACTAAACTGCCTTCAAAGAATGCCCTAAATACCTCTCGAGACATTTGTTCACCACTTCCTAGGCGTAGAAGACTGTAGTGAGTAACCTTCTGGAGCGAATGGCGGACTCTGCCCCGAGCATGAACTTCTTTTCATCCTGTTCAAGGTCAAATATTACTCAGTTTGCGTTGAAGAATAACAATTATTACATTCGTGAATGGCTGAACTGAGAATACCCTAATGATTTCTCTTGGATTTCGTATCCCAAGTTCCTCTACTTGGCTGGATAAATCGCCTCTTGACTTCATCATACTGGAATTGGACTTGTAGATAATAGCGAGCAATGAATTGGTGAGTGAAGTATATTTATAGTAACCACTCCATTACTGAATACATGTACGTAGAATACTCCAGTATAGAATGATATGGACACTGAAGCTAATGTGACATTACGGTAGTACAATAGGAAGTACGTCACCACTGTTGTAAATGCACGCGCTGATCCAATCCAACCTGACAGCCAATGCAAGAGGTTGGAATTGGCTATTGATTGCCTAACACACTCATACAGTACCAAAAGCTATCTGTCATTGCTCATTTTCCACTCAACATAACACAGTTGGAAATCACCAGCTAGGTGCACATCTTGGCACATAATGTGTGCTATCGCAGTCCACCGCAGTACACAGTAATACACAGATAACTACCGATATAAGATAATGCCACATACATACATACACGCATACGCGCGCACCCACACCCACACGCGTGCACATGCGCACACACACACACACACACATGAAGCAGCTGCCGAATCCGACTATGCAGTCTCCCAGACACGCGCGCACGGGCACACACACAAACCAGCTGCCGAATCCAACTATACAGTCTCTCAGGCATGCGTGCACATCCACGCACGCGCGCGTGCGCACATACACATGAACCAGCTGCCGAATCCGATTATGCAGTCTCCCAGGCACGCGTGCACGCGCACACACACACACATGGACCAGCTGCCGAATCCGACTATGCAGTCTCCCAGGCACGCAACCCCAATGGCAATGGGAAAAGAACAG